CCCCAAAACCCCAAAACCCCAAAACCCCGGAATGCTAAAATAATCTTTGAATATTGATTTATGTTAGATTAAGAATATTTCATAGATTTCATTCAGCCCTGGACTTTGAAAATTCCGAACAGCAGAACACACATTACCACTAGCATGCATATCATGATACAGCACATTTTCTACACAACTATTAAATAAATAGAAACTTACTGTTCTAGCTTTTTCATGCCATTTCTTAGCTTTCTATAAATGAACTTCTGCTTTTTCCATATAGTCATTGGCATCTTGCAAGTTTGCTTCAATGTTATCGAGCATTTCACCCTAGGCTTAAATAAGTGTGGCTAACTCTTAAAACATCTAAAATAATTCCTCCACGCTCTATAGAAATATTATTCATTTATTGTGATATTACCTATTCTAATCTAAGAATATCTCTGTATTTGTTTTAGATATCATCAACAGTATTTAGAACTTTTCTATGAGCAGTTCCAATAACTTTCTCTCTAATAAGTTTTTACGCTGCCTCAGGATCTCTAGCCAATTGCTCTAATTCTTCCTCAGTGGCATCTGCTTTAGCAAATCTCAGTTGTCTTTTAATCTTAGATTGCATTGCATTTTTATATTCAGTTTGAATTTATTAAGATTGCCTAAGTACATCTCTAAATTTTGAGGTGAGAGTTCTATGGACAGTCTTTTTAACTCTAGTTTCTGGTTCATCGGGGTAATTTTTATCAGACTCTTGTATATCAGCACTCATTACATCCAATAATTCTTTAACCTTTTTCTAAGATTTTGTGTTTACCTGAACAATCTCATTAATCTAATCGGTCTTCACTATATGCAGTTCAAACTACAGAGATTTGTGACACTTACTTTATTGGTTTGATTGTTTATTATCATTTATTTATTAATCTGCTATTTCCTTTAACTCAATGTTTTTCTTTCCCATGCTGACTATCAACTTTTAAACTTCCTTTACATAGACAAGAAAATCATTTATAAGTTCTCGATCATTGTTCTCTTCATCAGCAATCAAAGACTCATTCAAGTTCAAACTTATACCCTCTTTTTATGCAAGCTAAAATATTTGCTCATTTTAGAGTAAATTATGAGTACCTTTCTGAATTCTTCTAGTCTATCCAACATTTTAAATCAGAATTACTTTCGTTTGATTTAATACTTATAATTTCACTTCTATTACTTTAATTATTTATAATTTTGTCAAACAAGTTTATTTAAAGAAATGGGTAAACGTAAAAGTAACTATAGCAGCTATTCAAATAAACAAAAGTATTAGCCCTAAAAGCCACTTCCTCCTAGAGTAATTTCAAATTAATTATAACATATTTATAAAGAATCTGATGAGAATAAATCCTGTAAATAAATACAATGAGGACATAGAATAATTAAAGCCAATCATAAGAGAATATGGACTATTTCTAAGGGGTAAATTTAATTCGTCTCAAGTAAATTGCATTATAGAAATTCAGCCTGATGGTAATTGCTTATTCAGAGCTATGAGCTTCTTTGAAGAATACAATTAGGAGAATCATTTAAAATACAGATAAAGGGTAGTTTAGTACCTAAAAACACATAAATCTGAATATCAAGTTTTATTCGAGACTGAGAGGGAGTTAGATGACTATATAAGGGTAATTGAAAGAGAACACACTTGGGGAGGAGAATTGGAATTAAGCATTTTATCAAAGATCTATAGCTGTGCTTTTGTAATACATGCAAATAGCAGACCAGACATTCATGTAAATAATTAGTTTTTATTTAGTTCAAAGGTCGATAGCAATGAGAATGAGAGTTGCAAAAAAACATATCATTTAGCTTACCATTTAAATGTATATTAATTTTATAAAATGTTTATTTTAGGAGCATTATAACTGTTTGGTTACTTTAGAGGACTTAGACAATATGAGTGAAATATAAATTAAGACCAGCGATGATGGGTGGACCATAACATTGTGGGTAATAATCTTTGGAATTTTCTGTGCAATTGTTTTTTACATAGTATTCAAATACTTTATGGTTTAATTGTGAATTAATTACGACTAACTCAATAAATCAGACTAATTATAGGGGCATGGGGTTTTGGGGTTTTGGGG